CCTCCACAGGAGCCGGTCCGATGTAATGAACGTCGGCGTCGACTGAAGGTGGCGGTCCAGCCGCGGTATCAATAACGGGGTTGACGAACGGGTCTGTCCAGCCAAGGTGATCTTCATGCCGGTGCCGACTGAAGGTGGCGGTCCAGCCGCGGTAACAATAACGGGGTTGACGAACGGGTCTGTACAGCCAAGGCCATCTTTACGCGAGGGCTCCCGACCTCTAAACAAGTACACGTTAAATATATATATGTATATATATACATATATATATATATATATATATATATATATATATATATATATATATGACATCTGTCTAAGAATAAGATGAAAAAATGTACGGGAAATCATCCTTCGACACGTAAAAAGCAAGAACGCATTTATCATCGCAACATAAAACTCTCTGGCTTTGTTATGAGAAACAGCGCTGACAGACCCGACAGACCTAAATGCACCAATGCAGTATACCAATTAAAATGTAATCTCGAAGGCTGCAACCTTCGTTCCATACATTACATTGGCGTAACCACGACACCATGAGGACGCCTCCCAATGCGTTTACCCGACGAGCACGTGCGACACGACACGAAGGACATCAACACGACGACAGATGAAGCTGACACTGATATTCTTCAGACGTGCGATGACGAAAGACGACTTTAAATTTAGGAGAGCACTTTTATCAACGAATTCTCTCCAGCCATCACCAGACAAACAAATTCTTGCACAGCTCTTGAGCTAATAGGTGGTGGGCGGTATGTACTCGCGTGTTATGTTATGTACTTGCATGTTATGTGATGTACTCTATGGTGTGCTAAGGATGTGCACCACAATCTGAAGGATATCTTTTGGTACGGAGAAGACAAAAATTCCTGTCGTGCTTGGCTACGTACAATGTGCACCCATAATGAAAACGCTACAAAGACACATAGCCGCGGTAACATCTAAAGGCCCCAACACTTGTTGCTTAAGCCATTTATATTTTTCCGACGATGAGATGGGGTCTCGGAGTGTTAGAACGCAGAGATTTCGACGAATATGTGAGTGATTATGTACGAACAATCTTTTAGCTTAACGACACTGCTAAGTCAAAAGCCCGGAGCTGGAACGGTGCATCAAGCAGCTTGCCAATGTCTTGTCAATGTCTTGTCAATGTCTTGTCAATTTCTTGTCAATGTCTTTTCAATGTCTTGTCTTGTCAATCAGCGAAATCAGCGGTCGTTTTTATTCAAATTTGCATAAAGGAAAATACTTCGCCAAGGCGCACAAGGGAGCAGGATGTCACCAATTCACTGCTGATAAAAACACCACAGCCTGTTCTGATCTGTTTCGATGATGAGTTTTTTTACGTAGGCTTTTGATGTTTCCAGCAATATGCCTTACGTTATGTTGATGTTCCTGGAGGTCAGCACTTGATACTGATACTGATCTGTGACAGCATTTTGGCAGACTTTAATGGTCATTAAAGACAGCAAGAATGTCTCTTTTATTGACGTCATCAAAAGATGAGGTCCGTTCGTTGCGTTTCCCTACATTGTTACAATCTACTATAGATTACCTCAGGTCATCACAGATTACCTCAGGCTTCGCAAGACGCCCCAGAAAATGCATTTTGCTGCATATCCGTTATTCTACCTCACTACCACTGCAAGTGCATTTATTGAAGCGTTCTTTGGACATTTTTGCTGATTTATGGGAGACGCAACTCCTCATTTTTCATTTCATACGCCTGTGGTAAGTGATTTTCGAGAAGCCTGCAAGTGGGGCGTCTTGTCCCACCCCCAGGGCAAGACGCCCCGGGCCGTGAAGCAAGAAGCCCCGGGCCATTCGGTAAAAAGCCCCGGGTGTTAGGGCAAAGCACTTTACCAGGAATAGTGCCCCATCTAACATCAAAAGTTCAGGTCGGGGTTCAAACAGATTTCGTATCTGCCTGCGGTCATTAAACTAAGCATTTCCACCTTGTAGATATCACGTTTCTCAACATCGAAACAGACTAGTACCAAAACAATCAACGTTTATTCACGCATACCTGCGCTGAACGGTAGGCGAACGGTAACGGTACTGGTGCGGTGGCGTGTCTGGATTACTGCCACGTAAGAACTACTCACGGCAGTGGTCGCAGACGTACACCGTCTCAGTGTCATTCGCGTCAGTGCAAGGAACACAAGCCCATCCTTTGCAGCTCCCACACCGAATCCACTCCCCACAGGAGAAGGGGAAACGCATTGAGCATATCAGGAGTGTCACGTCTTTCCCGGAATCGGGCACTGACTTCCTTTTCGCCGGCTTTGTTTTAGCGCTTTTTGTTTTCTTGAGGTAGCTTACAAGATGCTTCCCTTTAGACGGAGATGAAGTTAAGACCGCAGACTTTTCCGTTTTACGGGTGCGTTTTCTTTTGTCTGCCTGGGGTAATGGTGACAGCTCTCCTAGCAGCGTCCTTGCAGACGCAATCCTGCTCATTAGAGCTCCGCTGGGACCAGCGCCGTTTACCTCGCCACATGTCCCGTTGCGACCTGCGTCACCCTCCGCGCCAGCTCTCCCCGTTGCGACCTGCGTCACCCTCCGCGCCAGCTCTCCCGCTGTGACCAACGTCACCCTCCGCGCCAGCTCTCCCGCTGGGACCATCGCTGCCCACCGCGCCAGCTCCTCCGCAGGGGCCAACGCCGTCAGTTCCACATCCACTGGGCTCTGCTTCATTCGTCAGCAGCGATGGCGCGTAGTCTTTCTCTGCGAAGACGTTTTGGTCGAACGGCCAAAGACCGCTCACTTCAAAGCCCTTGATGGCTCTTTCGGGTGATGCCATCCGGTTGAACGCTTTGCCGATCAGCTGCCCAATCTCATAGACGGTGACGCCTCTGCCTCGGCTCGTCCGCAGGTAGTTCTCTGCTGCGACGTTGTAGCCGGCTTTCAGTGGCTTGAAGACGGTTCGGTCGAGAGGTTGCATCAATTCGGTCGAGGGGTTTTTCGTACGAAGAATGCAATTGCAGGGTCAGCATATGTATGTGGTGTTCCCTGGCGTAGAGGATGGCAGAAAGATACTTGTGGGACTGGTGTCCATCCAGTGTGATCAGCTGTGGGTTGTTGGTGCTGCTTTACGTCCACTGCTCAAAGTGCACCAGCCACTTCAATAACAGCTCGCCGTCCGTCCATACTGAATCACTAATGCCAGCGATGGACCCTGGAGGTGGCCCATTCATGAGCTTGTCCAGCAGGCGCTTTCTCGGCCAGATCATCATCGGAGGTATGTAATGTTCCGTGGCGCTGCAAGCAGCAACAACTCACAAGTACGCCTCTTTCCGCGCTAGTCAGCGCTCCGACGCAACGTTTCCCACTCTTGGCCGAAACCTTTGAAGGTGTCTGGACGGCAGTAACACCAGTTTTGTCCATAATCCAAACCTGCCAGCTCTTGAACTTCAACTTTTCAAGACGATCTTTATAGATCTTGAAAAACGGAGCCACCATGTCTTTGTTGAAGTCAGTCGCCCGATGGATGCTGGTTTCTTGCGGATTTCTGAGGCTGATATCTGAGTTGCGGTTCAGAAAGCCGCATAGCCATTCCTCTCCGGCGGATCCATCTCGAAACGGATGCGGGAGTTTCATACATTCAGCTATCTGAAATGCCGGCTTCCGTATGTCCACGGTAGTCAAGCCAAAAAGTCGACTTTCCATCGCAAGAATGTGTTCTTTGAGAGCTATTTCCACATCGGAAGGGAACACTGTGTCGTAGCTTTCAAGATGCTGCTCTCCCGGACGTTTCACGTTACCGTCGCGATGACGTCAGAGTTTGCTAAGCGACACACCATATTTGTGTGACACCTCTCGCACACCCAATCCTTTTTTGAGGTCGTCCAGATATTTTTAATGGTAATTTCGCCATATTTCATGCGCCGTGATTTTCGCTTGTATGTCCGCACCATGCCTTAAACAAAAGGCCATTTTATTGCACGCCGCCCAACAATATTAACAACAATATGGCTGTTAACTTTAAACAGATTTCTAAGCTTAAAAGGTGAATCAACCGCCAATATCATTATCTTCCTAAAATTGTATTTCCTCAAAATTCTGCCCCTTAAAAGTTTTAAGATAGTTACCCAGATTAAACTATGGTCAACTAGTCATTTAAAGCCGATGTAACAGGAAATTCGCAATCAAAGGCACAAATGGGGCAAGACGCCCCATGGGGCTTTTTGCCTGACAAAAAAACATTTGCCACAGTAGTTTTTGTTGCCTACTGTGGCGTTTTACCCGGACCAGTCATTCGGAGAGGAAGCGGCGCCAAGGACGAGAACCAACACGAATTCGACACCAAACAGTAAGGTATTTTTGGGTCCAAATTATGATCTCTCGATGTCCATTAACGATTCTGAACTGTAGTGTGGTATAAATAATTGCCTTAACTTAGCACTGTAACCCAAAATAGAAAAAAAAACACTCGCAAACACATTTTTACCTTTATCTCTCCAACGTGATGTACCAGGTTCGTCGCTATCTGCCAGCGTGCTGACCACATTTTGTCTGTTTAACAGAACAAAAGTGTTTCCCGGAACTTTTTAAATTATAAGATATCTTTATGGTGTGTTTTACCCCGGCGGGGCGTCTTGCCCCACCTTGCCCTATATGATCTAGGAGAAGGCGTAAACCTAGGTTCTAGGCGCCTTCAGCGGCATATCCGCGGAAGGAAAAGCTGAGGCACACACAAACAGAAAAACGCAAATCGCTCATTTGTGCCTTCGGTCCCATAGGGTCCTGGCTATCTCCAATGAGGGGTGTGGGGTCGTGGCCACAAAGCCCCCCCCCCCCCCCTCCACTGGCTATGCCACAAGGTGTAGGATTGTATTCAGTTTAGCGTGCTCTGACCCTAGGTCGCGCCGAGCCGTGAGCTGTATGGCCGTCTGTCTGTATATCTACACGTCAGCTAAGCTCCAGCTCGCTCGTCCGTCTCACCCAACCTGTTACGTGACTGTCACACGTGCTGACGTCACGCCGCCTTCTGCCGCCAGAGTTTTTCGCGCAGAACACGCTACCGGACACCCACTGCGGGTACCGCGTGGCGCCGGGCGTGTGCCACATCACCCCCGAGGAGGGCCGCTACATCCCCAACGACACCACGGCCTTCTGATGCGACGCTGATGCCGCTTAACAGACTGACTCAGAGGCGGCACTGCCACCGCCACAGGTGGCGCTGCCGGCGCGGGGCTGTTGGCTGGCCTGGGCTGGCAGCCGTGTCGATTACGTCACTGTCTGCCGAGCGCCAAGGCTGGAACGTTTTTTACTTGCTGCCAAACCTGCACTGAAAGTATCATTGTTAGACAAACGCCCATGACTCGGCTGTCTGGGTGTAACTGCCGTCTAAGCCGCGACAAAATGGAGTTGAGTAGCTTCTTTTGATTAGCTGTCCGTCCACGACTTTGTAGTCGCTAAAAGGGATCGTTCTCCGGTAAAGTTGTGTCGTACCTCGACTGTCTTGCCACGCTTCTTGATACACTGCAAAATAAACTAACGGACCTATGCGATCGTTTACGACACTGGGGAGCCCGAGGGACCGTGTGTATTACGAACAGACAGCACTGTAAGTGGCCGGCGAGAACGGCACGCCCCAACCTCCCACATCTCGTCGACAATCCAGCCGGTAGCAATCTGGCATTCGTTAGCGTGAAGACCGTGTCGTTTACGACACTGGGAAGCCGGAGGGACCGTGGGTATTACGAACAGACAGCACTGTAAGTGGCCGGCGAGAACGGCACGCCCCAACCTCCCACATCTCGCCGACAATCCAGCCGGTAGCAATCTGGCATTCGTTAGCGTGAGGACCGTGTCGTTTACGACACTGGGCAGCCGGAGGGACCGTGGGTATTACGAACAGACAGCACTGTAAGTGGCCGGCGAGAACGGCACGCCCCAACCTCCCACATCTCGTCGACAATCCAGCCGGTAGCAATCTGGCATTCAAATGGGTCGAAATAACAGGCCAAAAACTTGGGAGTGGGTGGCTTTACGGTCGCTATCTTGTATCCATTTAACTTACGTTTCTGAACTGTTTCGCACGCGACGAAAATGGAGACCGTGTTTAACCTCAAGCCCTTGAAGACCGTGTTGAATCTCAAGATCGTGAAGACCGTGCTGAGCCTCAAGACCGTGAAGACCGTGTTGAACCTCAAGACCGTGAAGACCGTGTTGAACATAAGGACTGTGAAGACCGTACTAAACCTTAAGACCGTGAAAACCGTGTTAAAGCTCAAGACTGTGAAGACCTTGTTGAAGCTCAAGACCGTGTTGAACTCAGGCGTTTAGGGAAATCTACATAGAAAACTCAACGGCTTCGGCGCATGACACTGAAATGAACCGACATCATGGAATCACAAGCAGGGAATGAAACCCCATAATCCCATCATGATGGCCTGGACAGGGCAGTACAAATGGATTTCGCTGGATTCGCAACGCTAAGACCATACGGCCAGCGTCATCAGCTTCACCGCCGAAGACGCAACGGTGCCTCAGCCACGTGAGGTGGCTCTCAGCTAGCGGAGGCACGCTGCCAGACTTGTCTTCAGGAGATGCTAAACGTGCCGTGAACTCCTGCGAGTTCACACCGAACTCCTGCGAGTTCACAGCGAACTCCGGCGAGTTCACAGCGAACTCCTACGAGTTCACACCGAACTCATGCGAGTCTGCACAGCATCTAGTGTATGTTTAATGGCGCAGGGGCATGCTGCATTGCCCCCCCCCCCCGCCCCCCCCCGCGCCCCGCCTTGGCTGCGTCCCGGAGTCAGGATCTGTTTAATTTGTTGAACACTCATGGAAAAGTAGGCCACTGTGCCCATGCAATACTATAACGTCCACTCGGACATCGAATCGCTATGATCTTTGGCCCGCGCTTGCTTTACTGCGCAAAGAGCCGGCGCCGTCGGCGTCGGTGCAGCACCGCCTGCCGCCTCACAATGCTGATCCGCATCTCAGTAATGCACAGCGTATCCATCTGAGCTTTATCTGTGGGGTCCGCGTCAGGTGGCGGTTCTCTGTGTTTTGGCACACAATACCCATCGCTGCCCTAGCCGTCAGGTGGCGGTTCTCTGTGTTTTGGCACACAATACCCATCGCTGCCCTAGCCGTCAGGTGGCGGTTCTCTGTGTTTTGGCACACAATACCCATCGCTGCCCGAGCCGTCAGGTGGCGGTTCTCTGTGTTTTGGCACACAATACCCATCGCTGCCCGAGCCGTCAGGTGGCGGTTCTCTGTGTTTTGGCGCACAATACCCATCGCTGCCCGAGCTGTGCGGCATGTTTCCGACGCCCTGCCTGGCCATGCACAGCTAGTCTCTCGCCCATATACTAAAGGGTCGCCCTGCTAAACGTTTAAAACGCGCCTCCTTCTCGCGAGGACTGCGAGGCTACCGAGGCGAGGCGAGGCGAGGACTGCGAGGCATCGGGGAAGGGGGGGAACGACATGCACGTCGTGGATCGTCACCAAATGCGCACGGGTCCACACGATGACTCGCAAGACGTGGATTAGATGAGTAAGTTTGCCCGAGTCCTTGAAATTTACCTAATTATTATTTTCATTTGAAGCCAGCTTGTTTTATTCAGGCAAGCATGAGGCATCAAAGCCAGTTTGTGCTGTTCAAAGCAAATTGGTTTACTTAAAGCCCTCGGCATGATAGCAGAAGAGAAGCGGGTGAGACAACAAGGCGGTACGCATTTCCAAGCCTCGCAGTTCTGACGAGCAGCCGGCACCACTGCCCGGCACAAACCACAGGCCGGCCACCACTCCTCGGCGCAAACCAGGCCGGCACCACTGCCCGGCACAAACCACAGGCCGGCCACCACTCCTCGGCGCAAACACAGGCCGGCCACCACTCTCGGCACAAACCACATGCCGGCCACCACTCCTCGCACAAACCACATGCCGGCAACCAACCATTCCTCGGCACAAACCACAGGCCGGCCACCACTCCTCGGCACAAACCACATGCCGGCAACCATTCCTCGGCACAAACCACAGGCCGGCCACCACTCCCCGGCACAAACCACAGGCCGGCGACCACTCCTTGGCACAACCACAGCACCGCCGCGGGCCGGTCCGCGCCTCGGGAGCAGCACCGCCACAGGCCTGGCCGCGCCTTGGGAGCCAGCACCGCCACAGGCCTGACCGCGCCTCGGGAGGAGCACCGCCACAGGCCTGACCGCGCCTCGGGAGCAGCACCGCCACAGGCCTGACCGCGCCTCGGGAGCAGCACCGCCACAGGCCTGACCGCGCCTCGGGAGCAAGCATCGCCACAGGCCTGACCGCGCCTCGGGAGGCAGCACCGCCACAGGCCTGACCGCGCCTCGGGAGCAGCACCGCCACAGGCCTGGCCGCGCCTCGGGAGCAGCACCGCCACAGGCCTGGCCGCGCCTCGGGAGCAGCACCGCCACAGGCCTGACCGCGCCTCGGGAGCAGCACCGCCACAGGCCTGACCGCGCCTCGGGAGCAGCATCGCCACAGGCCTGACCGCGCCTCGGGAGCAGCACCGTCACAGGCCTGACCGCGCCTCGGGAGCAGCACCGCCACAGGCCTGGCCGCGCCTCGGGAGCAGCACCGCCACAGACCGGTCCGCGCCACGGTGGATCGACGTCGCCAGAGGCAGTGCGCGGTGAGCGACACCCGAAGATGGCAACCCCCTCCAGCCGGAGAGGGGGCGGGGTGGGGGGGGGGGGGGCGGTGACCGGCCACGCGTCAGAGCGGCCCCATCCCCGGCCCCCAACACTCCAGCTGGGCAGGTCTCCCTTCCCCCAGCGGCGGCCTGCGGGGAGGGAGTTTCGGCACAGGTAGCCTTCGCTTCCGCTGACGTGGCCAAATGCATCGCGTGAGCCACTAGCGAGCGTAAGAGCGGCCCAGTCGGGCCTCGGCCGGTCACTTGTGCGGGGGCACAGATGACCGGCCGAGGTGGTGTTCACTGGAAGTCTTTCATTTGCATTCCATTTGCCGCTGCCTGTGGCGCACTGGGGATGGGACGCGAGGGAGAGAGAGGGAGAGGGAGAGGGAGGGAGAGAGAGAGGGGAGAGAGAGGGGGGAGGGAGAGGGAGAGAAAGAGAGTGAGGGAGAGCAAAAGAGGGAGAAGGAGGCTTCGGCTCTCCCTCCTGTTCTCCTGCAGCAGGGTGGCATGCTGCTCATCCCAGCCTCGCCTCAGCAGACGTCACTCACATCCCTGACGCCGTTCCCACTCGAAAATGCTCTCCTGCAGCAAAAACGCCACGACTATTCGCCACTTTCATATTTCTCGCCGACCGCAAACGCGGACAGCCGCCCCCCCCCCCCCCCCCCCTCCAGCACGATCAGAAGCCGAGCTCTGGAAAGCCCCCCTGCCCTCCCTCTCTCACCCGCCCGCATCGGCTTCCTCAGCAAGGCACGGCGGTAAAGCACGAGACCGACAATCGGCTCCACGTCGGCGGGGCAGCAGTCGTGCGACACACCTGTTAACAACAGAACCGGGCGCCAGCCGGCTTACCCCGACGCTCACAACGCAGAGGAGCCGGGCAGCCGCTGCGCTCGCCCTCACAACGCGGCGGCGCACAAATTACTCCCGAAGAACCGCACCGCGCTGGCGAGGGCCAGTATATTCATACCTATCGCATGCCGCTCCTTTGGGCACGCTTTGGGAGGCATCCAAGTCACGGCAGGTCACGCAGCCGCAGCCAGGCGCGGTCGACATTTTCAGCCGTCGCTAGCCCCATAAGTCTGCCGGCACGTGCGCGCGCGCCGTGACTGCGCCGCCCCATCACCGCGCAGTAGAGCCGAGCGCGTGGCCACCGTCACCATACCGAGCACACCGGTCACCGGTCACGTGGCCACCGAGCACCGCCGGTCAGCTCGGCCGCACGCGCGTTAGCGACCAAAGTCGAGCCGCATCCACCGGCCAACGGCCTTATCGCACTCGCAGCGGCCTGGCGCCGGTACAAATTCCGTCGGGCGGCTCCTCGGCGCGACTTTGGTCTTCGCGAGCTCGGACGCGACTTTGGTCTCGCGGGAGGCGGGTCCGGCCGGCGGACGGGCGGCAGCGGACTCGCACGCAGGTCATCAAGGTGACCCCAGGTCACCTCAGGGCGTCTCCGGTCGGGTCCGGCCACATCGGGTCAAGCACGACAGCAGAAGAAGGCCAGCAGAGGCCCGCAGAAGGCCAGCCGAGCGAACTTCGTCCGCGGCCAGACAGGTCAATGACCGGAGCCTGGCTTGCCACTCTCGGTTGGCCACCCACGTCGGAGTCACTGTGTCGTGTTGACATTGAAGACACTGCGTGACACCACCGTGTCGTGACAATGACACCTTGAAACGTGACGCTGTGATACGTTGCACTGACACTGTGACACGTTGCACTGACACTGTGACACGTGACACTGACACTGTGACGCTGTGACGCCGACACTTTACACATGACTCGGCGCGCGACGCCTGTGACAGGGCCTGTGCCGCGGCACACTGGCGCCGCCGGCGGCAGCGGCAGCACACGGCCACGCCACAACACCGGTACCGCC